TCGCGGCCAGCTCTCGCAGTTTGAAGACGTCTTCTCTGGCATTTGGTTTATCATTGTCACGTTCGTTTGCATCGTTTCTGCGCAGGACCCTAACCACCATTGTGTAGGATCACGTCCGTGGGCTACGGGGACATCGTGCCCAAGAATATGAGTGGCAAGTTCATTGCTGTGCTGGCCATGATCTTTGGCGCTTGCTACACGGCGATGCCTCTCACGCTTGTCGGCAGTCAGTTTAACCGGAGCTACAACGACCATACGCGGCGCGAGGCACTCACGCGCACCAAAAACGACGTGGGCTCTCGTCTCACGCTACCGACACCCGACTTGACGAGCTGGAAGCTCTTTCGGACGCAGTCGTTTATGGCTGAAGTGCAGTCCATGTACGAGCGTGGTATGCTTTCTTTTGTGTTGCGTCATGTTGCATTTGAATCGCTATGTGCAGAGTTCATGTCGCTCTTGCCCGAGCTCGACGAAGACCTTGTCGCACAGCTCACGCTCTCGGAGGAAGAACGTTCCGAGAAGATTGCCATCATCACCAAAGTCAAGGACAAGATCGAAAAGTACAAGGTGGACGCGTCACGTTGAACGCTCGCGACGGACTACTCATGGATCGGTAGATTTCGATTTTGCAAAGCGCTCGCGTCGTGAGCCGGTTGTACCACGAAGGCATTCGGTTGGCCAAACAGCAAACCTCGGCGCTGCATCGGTTGGGCTAACCGCGGCTACTGTATGTTGCATGGCTCGTCGTAGCATTGACATGAATTCTCAATAGATGTATTTTCGTATTCGCATGCATCAACCTTTCTCGTTGAAGCAACCGAACGAGTTACTTGACAGAAGCCACCCCCGTTTCGAGTAATCGTGGTGTTGTCTTGGCGGTAAACGAGCGCCGCACCCACCTCCACGAAGCCACCAAGCTCTTGGGCACGTTGGACGGCGCCTTCAGCACTTGCAGAGTGCTACAAAGATGAAGCTTCTCAGCGCATGCTGCGTCAATTGTTGTACCGAGGGGTCTTGCTCCCACTGCTGCGCAAAAAGTCGATGATGGCCGCGGTATCCAGCGTCTCGATGGGGACGCCGTTCAAGTGGGTCAGACGATCGCCAGCGTCCACGCGCTCGAGTGCAGGCCATGTAGCCCTAAATACGCACCACCCCTAACCCACAGAGCTCCACAAAGCATGGGAATGTACCGTTCAAACTCGTGAAACACGGTATACTTAGTTGAAAAGTCCGTCTCGAGCGAGAGGCCGAGGGCTTCCGACGCCGACGGCGCTTCGATCGTCACGCGTCGAAGGCGGGAGGCCACCCACGTCTGGCGAGCACCAGGCGCTCCGCCGGTACTCGATGGCGCCCGAGCGAGGCTCGACGTGAGGAGCTCGGTCAAGACACGCGGCGCCGATGTTATTGTAATCGTGCTACTTGGTACTGCACTGGTGCCGCCTGTGGGTTGAGGTCGAGGACACCGACGGCGCCACGGTGAGAGTGGCCGCTGCGCTCGAAACTCCCGTTCGTAGAGCGTCAAGTCCCGAAAAAGAAGCGATCGCGGCTCGCTTTTGAGCTTCTCGAGCGCGACCGTGACCATCCCGACGTGCGACGCACCGGGTGTTGGATCCGCGTGGATCCCAAGCGCCGAGAGGCCGTTGATCGCGATAAGCAGCTGTCCGGGCGCGATGCCATCGCGTCGCCGCTCTTTGCCCATCCGCGGCGACAGCAGTGGCCCGTCGGAGACGGATGCAAACGGCTCGATCGTTGGCACTTCGAGCATGCGTTCGACTTGTGCAAAGCGGAAGCGTGGCATCCAGTCTGGCGTCGGGATCGTCACGATGTCGTAGTCGTCGTCCTGCGTCGCTGATACCATGGACGCCGAGAGACGAAGCAGCGCCAACTGCTTTGGAAAGAGACTGAGATCGTTGCTCAAGAGCAGCTCTCGAACGTCGTCGACCGGTGCCCCGATGACGACGTGGTCGTTGACCTTGACGATGCATTTTCCAAGAATCCGCGCCGCCCACGCTGCGTCGACGTCGACGTCGGTGACGACGAACGGCTTGACCATGAGGAACGACTCGCCAAGCTGGAACCCAAGCGGTTGCGACGGCGGAAAAATGACTTCGAACTCGCCGTCGTCCATGTGCGCTTGCTCTTCCCGCAGCCATGCCTCGACGAGCGACTCGGTGGACGTAAAGAAGGACGCGCCGGCCTTGGGCAGAAACGTCAGCTGCAGTGGCTTACCGCTGCCCTTCGCTTCGCGCAATTTCTTCATGACGTCGCGAAACGAGTATGGAAGTACGTTGGTCGCGTTCTACAAGCATCCATATATGACGCCATTGAGGGATCGCATCGGGTACGATGGCCACGAGCACATCGCCAGGCGTCAAGTCGGGGCAGATGCGCTCGACGGGCCCTGTCGTGTAGTGAGTACATGCGCAGCGACCGGCGCGTCGTGTACCTGGAACCGACTCGATCTTCTTGACAAGCACATGACCGTCGTGGTTGAGTGCAATGCGAATTCCGAGGTCGCCTGGCTCTGTAAACGTCAGCTACATCAAGGCCATGGGTCCGCCATGGTCATAGCAATGGGCGAGGCTACCTCGAGGACCTCGTCGGAGCTACTGCCATCGTCCATGGGCTGCGTCGCCACTGCTTCCTGCACCTCGGTCGCTGTCATCGCAAACTATTTTTGGCACCGAGCCAAATGATCTTCTGGATCGTATCCGGCTTCACACTATATCCTATCCACAGTACGCGATATAGTGCAAATAGCAAAATCGACGCCTCGACGCATCGACGCATGGCCATAGCATTGTTGTCCATGGCAAGTATCTCTCGTGCCAGACCGTGCTTCATATATACTATATACGGTAGTACAGGACGGCGCGCATCGCACCGCCTTGGTCGAAACACGACCCTTCAAAAACACTATTTTATAATGTACTAC